AAAGAAGATCGGATAGTTCGAACTTATAATTAAATATAATAATACTTACGATATAAAAATAAAAAACGTAAAGATTATTTAAATTAACGTCGATCGTTTTATTAACGTATTTTAATAATATGTAAAGTAATCTCTTATATATATAAAGGCTATTATCCTAAACTTAAATAAATACTTATTAAAAACCGTAAATAAGTAGTATACCGGCGACTTAAAAATATAATAATAAAAAGAATTTAAAAACGTTAAACACGGTCTTAAAACCTAGGCTTTTTTCTTTTATTAACGTTTTAAAATATTAAAAGCTATCGCTATATAATAACTTAACCGGCTATATTATAGCCTAGAAAACGTTAAAAATAATAAAAATATTAAGTATTTTTTAACTAAAGTTAGTCGACTAGTTTAAAATATGGGATATCTATTTAACTATTTCTTAAGACTAGTTTATAATAAAATAAACGCTAATTTTATCGTTAATAAACCGCGTCTAAATAAAATAATCGACTAAAATAAATAGTTTTAAAAAATAATAAACTATTAAAAAAGATAAAAGCGAAACGTTTACTAAGGATAGAAATTATAATTAAAAGTTAAAATTAACTCTTTTACTAAATTTAAAACCTAGTACCCTAAATCTACTTATTTCTAATTATTAAAAGCTTTAAAAGAAACTATAAACTAAATAAGAAACCCCTTTTATCGACCACGACCGTCTTTAAATTAATTAAACTAATAAATATAACGGCCGTAATAAAAATCTCCTTATTAATAAAAAAACTATTCATAACCTTTAAAAACAACCCAAATCGCCTAAAACGAAAATAACTTATTTATAAATATTAAAAAAAAGGAATACATATTATTTAAAACGTATATATTTAAAACGAAAACGGTATAATAAATATAGCTATTTAAAAATAAATATAAAACGAGGGTTTTTATATAGTAGATATATTTTATATTAATTTATAAATAAACACTATAAACTTATTAAGTTAAAACGATTTAATTATAAAAAACGAAAAGCCCGAAAAGGTGAATATCCTTAACGATATTACTATTTCATCGGACCATTAGTATATTCTAAAATATAATAACATTTACTTCCTCTCCTTAAGCTATAAATCCTATAATATCGTTTTAAATAAAAAAAAACACTAATAAAATTATTATTTAATTTATTAAAATCTAATTAAAATCGATCTATAATTAAGAATAATAAAAAGTTTATTATAATAAACCGTTAACCCGTATTTAATACTTTATAATTATATTTATATAAAAATTATAATTAACCTCGGCCTTTATAGCTTATAGTAATAGGCTTATATAGATATTACGGCTAGCTAATCGTAATGAGGTTTGTATTAATAGAAGTCGGGGCTACGATACTCATAAATAATAGTCGTTATAAGAATAGCTTTAGGGAAGCTATTATTTATAAATCGTAAAGTAAATAAAGCTTTAGTAATTAATCGTAGTCTTATTAATAAGGTTTTTAATAAAGATAGCTAAAAGTAATTATTAAATTTAATATAAAAATTGATTATTAAAGAAGCTATAAGAGTCTATCCTCGAGCCTAGTTCGTAGCCATTTTATATATAAATCTTAATCGTAAATATATTTTTTATTTATATATTTATTTAACAGTTTTTATATTTTTAAGTTATGGGATCCGTTTAATTAAAAAGCGGATTTTATATACTAAACGTATAGAGTTCCTTATTTTATTATTATATAACTTATTTATAATTTTTTTATTTTGTAAAGGTAATATATATATTCCCGTGTTTTATATTATATATAATATAATAGTCGCCGTAGGCCTATGGGGCGAGTCCCTAGTCTTATTATATATATTAGGTCGTAATATTAGGTCTTTTTTTTAAAAGTCTAGTCCCGTAGATTTATAAATACGTGTTCGTTATTTAGGTTTATAAGGTAGTTAATTATGCTTATTATAATATGTTAATACGATATTAAGTCGTGTTAAAAAACGTATTTTAAATAAATTTAAGTTAATAATATTTTGAATTACTTGTGACGACGTTTTTAATCGTTTTAATTTTAGTAACGTTATATTTTATATTTATTATTTTCGTGCGAAGCGTATTTACTAAATAGTTAAAAGTATAAAGATTTATTAAGGTTATAAAAATTTAAAGCGTATTTACGATAGTTTAGTCGTATTGTTAAGTTGTAAATATATATTCCGTTATTTATTATTATTTATAAAGCTAATTAATTATAGTGAAAAGATTAAGCGATTAGTGTTAAGAATAAAAAAAGAAAAAGGAATAAGCTAATAATGCTTTACTAAATTTTTATAAAAAACTAATTCGGATTTAGTCCGAAGTTACCGAGGCGGCTAGTCGTTTTGCTTAAATTTATATTATTCATAAGAAAGTAAAAGAGCGTTATATCGAGACTTTTACTTAAGGAATATAGGAGTTAGAGAAGGAAAATATCTTTTTAATATTAAATACTTATAAAAAGTAGGTAATAAGTAATTTCTAAACTATTAGTATTCTTAACGATCCTTTTTAAGGCGACTACGGTTTTAATAAGGAGTTTTAAGGGTTAGGTTTATTAATTAAGGCTAGTTTTTTTAATAATCGTAAAGAAGTTATTAAGAATATTAAAGGTTTGTAATAAGTTTTTATATATTATTTTCGTATCCGTAGTCTTTTTATTTAATAAAGAATTTTTATTATTTATTTTAGGTTCGGTAGTCGATAATTCGTTCGACCTTGTATTTTAGTTTATTAAATTCGACGATAATACGGTTTTTTATATATAAGCCTTGAAATACCGGCTTTAAAAATAAAATATAAAAAACTAAGTAGTATCGTATCGTATTTAAGAGTTTTAATTTAAAATTAATTAATAAAACTTTTTTAATAATTTTAAAAAGTTTAAGTTTTTTATAATCTAATTTATTGCTTAATCGTTTTATTTTAATATTGCGGCGAAAGAAATATACGTTATTTCCTTTTTTTAAAGTTAGTTTACTAATTTTTAATCTATCGGCGTATTTTTTTATTTATTATTATATAAATTTAAGGTTTAAGGAGGCTTTTTTTTAAATTTTTCTAAATTTATTTACGTTTATTACGGTTTTTATAGCCTATGGTCCTTCGTATGCTTTTTTATATATAGTTAGTTAGAATCCGTAGTTAAGGTAGAAAAGGGATTTTTTTATATTTTTATTAATTACGCTATTAAATATAAACTAAGCTATTAATAGTAATACTATTTAAATATTTTAGTCGTAATTTATATAGTAGTAGAGGTATATTTTAAAAATTTAGTTGATTTTTTTTGTTTATTTATCGGTTTATAAGTAAAAAAAGGTCGATAGTTTATAGTCTATACCGAGCTGCGAGATTAAAGATTTTTAAAACTTAGTAGTAAATAACTTATTTTTATTAAAAACTATTTCCTTAAGTAAACCGTAGTTAGTAATAATTATTTTAAAGAAAGTATATATTAATTCCTTAGTATTATTTATTTTTTTATATAGTATAAAATAAGTAAATTTAGTAAGTCGGTCGACGATAATTAAGATACTATCATATTATATATTCGTAAGTAGTTTTTTTGACTTTAATAATTTAATAATAAAGTCTTAAGAGATTAAATATTATATTTTTAGTAATATTAATAAAGGTTATAGCTTTTTATAAGGCTTATAGGGGCTATTTTTGTTTTTTTTATAAATATCGTAGTTTTTAATAGTTTTAGTGACTTTTATTTTTATAACGGTTTTATTATAATATTAACGAATCCGTTTTTATATTTTTGTAATACTTTAGTAACCGTGTACTTAAGTATTATAAACTTTTATAATAAGCTTAAGAGTTATTTTTTTAAATGGGTTAATATTAACTTTTTTAGTTATTATAAGGAGTTTTATAATAAGTATAAAATTATTATTATTGTTATACTTAAGGATTACTTATGTTTTTTTAGGGACCGTAATTTTATAATTAAGTCGTTTATTAAAAGCGTTTATTTTACCGTTTTTTAAACCTTTTTAATAAATAATTTAGAAATTAAATTCTAATAAAAATTCGCTTTATTTAATTTATCGTTTATTTAGATTTTTATTTATCGTAAAGTTCGTAAGGTTTTTATAATTTATATAAATAATAACTTCGTATTTAGTATTTAAAAGCTATGGTTTTTATTTTTTAAAAGCTTCGATTATAGTTATTAATTTTTTATTATAAATTTGTTAATTTAGTTTTGTTTTATAAAACGTTTTAAAGTAGAATATATAAGGGTAAAGTATTCCTTATTAGTCTCGTTATTTTAAAATAGCTTTTATAACGAAATCCGAGGCGTCGGTTTCGACTTCGAATAGTTTTTTTAAGTTTAAAATTATAGTTATTAATTCCAAAATAATTAAGTCCTTAACTTTATTAAAAGCTTTTTTATAACTTTTATTTTAAATAAAGGTTATATTTTTTTTTATTAAGTTATTAAAAGGTCTAATAATATTAACGTAGTTTTTAAGGAATTGTTAATAAAAGTTAACGAATTTTAAAAATAATTATATATCTTTAACGTTAATAAGTATAAACTAGTCCTCGACTATTTTTATTTTAAATATTTATATATAAATTTATCTTAACGTAATCGTATAACTAAAGAAATTTATTTTTTATATATAAAATTCGTATTTATTAAGCTTAGTAAAGAGTTTTACGTTTTGAAATTTTTAAAATATTATATAAATATATTTTTTATACGTTTCGAAATTAAAAAAGAAAATAAAAATATCGTTAAAATAAACGATTATAAAAATATCGACGTATTTTTTAAATACGTAATTAATTATTATTTAAAATATAGCGGGTACGTTAATAAGTCCGAAAAATATAATTAGGTATTTATAAAGTCCTTTATAAATTTAGAATACCGTTTTTTATTCGTCTTTTTTTTTAATTTTAATTTAATTAAATATTTTTTTAAAGTTTATTATAGTAAACTATTAAGCTTTGTATAATATTTTTTTAAGTTTTATAATAAAGGGTAATAAATAGTAATTTTTTTTAGTAATTTCGTTAAGTTTTTTATAATTGATTATAAATCTAAGCTTTTTTTTGTTTTTTTTAAGTATAAAGAAGATTAGTACTCTTATTAAAGAGGATAATAATTTAATATAACCTTTTTTAAATTTATTATTAATATATTTATTAAGTTCGTCGCGTTTAAATTAATTTATAAAATATAATAAATAGAATTTAAGTTATATTCTTTTTTTTAATTCGATTTTTATATCCTAACTATTATATTTTAATAGTCTTATTTTTTCTTTTAAAGCGAATAGTTTTATATAAATCTAATATTTTTTAAATATAATTTAAAATAAGTTTAATTTTCAATTATCCGTATTAAATACGAATATTTTAATAAGTTCTATCGTTTTAATAAAAGCAATATATTTAATTTATTTTCGTTTATTAAGTATTATATAAGACTTATTTAAACCTTTTTCTTTAAATCGTTTAATAACTAAATCTATTTAATAAAGTTAGCCGGTTTTTTAATTTATCTATAAATTATACTTTCGTAACTATAAAATTCTTAAAATAACGTTAATATTTCCGATCTTTATAATATCGTATTTTAATTAATTTAGTTAATTATTAATATATATCGTGAAATATATAGTCTCCCGGTTAATATATCCGTCGTTATAATTAATTTTTTTTTTTTATTGTTTATAAAGTATATAAATTCGTTTTCCGTATTTATAATAATTTATATTTATTTATCGTTTTAAATAAAATAAAGATTCTTTAAACGCCGTTATCGATAATAGCGTTTATATCGTATCTATTAATTTAAAATTTAAGTCGTAAATATTCCTTATTAAAAAATATTATAAAATATAAAAACTTATTTATTTTAGCCGCTTTTCGTTATTCTTTTATAATTAGCGTATTTAATTTTTTAATATTTTAAAAGTTAATACCCATTTTTTTTTTATAAGCCGTTTATAATTAGTTATTAAATCGGGACGCTTTTATCTTTTGATAAATAAATATAATACGTTAATAATATCGTAAATATCGTTTATTTCTTTATTAATAAGTTCTCTCTTCTTAAGAAATAATTTATAATTTTTAAATATTTTAATATTAAATTATGTTTTTAGAATATATTAGTTATATAGGTAGTTTTTTAAATCTTTAATAAGTTAATTTGGTTTTTTTTAAAAGCTTATAGATTTTTATTATTTTAATTACTTATTTAAATCGGCTTCTTTTTTAATAATAAAATTATTAATATTGAGTAGTATTTTATAATCGATTTTTAATTAAATACGTTATTAAGCGACGTCGCAAAGTTCGTTTAAATTATAAAGCGATTATAAACTTATTAACTATTTATAATTTAATATATTAATATTATTTAAAAAAAGGTCGTAATTTAGTCCCTCGGTATTAGATTTTATAAATATATTATCGGTAGTTTCTTTATTTAAATTATTTAGCTTAGTGTTTTTTTTAAATATAAGAAAGTTTTATTTTAAACGGAATATATTATCCTTTATTATTATTTTAAATTATTTATATAATCGCTATTATAAAATAGTAAAAATTATTTTTATAATTAAATATTAAAGAATATAAGCGTTTATTATATAGTATACCTCGCTTAGTTTTTTAATACGTTAATAATAACGTTTTTTTAACGTCTAAAATCCGTATATTAAATATATAATATTTATTTTTTTATCGATTTTATATTTTAATTAAAAAAAGTTTTTTTTCGTTTTAACTTTTAGTCGTTTTTAAAATCGTTATTAAAATAAAATAAGTATTATTTTTATATTTAATCGTTTTTTTTTTTAATAATCGGCTAGTTTTATAATAATTAATTAAAATACGGATATAGTTTTCGTTATAATTTTTTATTATTAAAAAGCGATATTCGTAATATTAAATTATTTTATTAAGTATTTATTATATTATATAAATAAATTTATTTAAAATCCGTATTTTACAAGCTGGGATTTTATTTTTTAGTTATAATAGGTCGTTTTTAGTTTTAACTATTATTTTTTTTTTAATTAACTTTTTATTATCGTAAAAGTTTACGCTTACTTAGGAAAATCGATAGGTTATATTTTAATTATTTCGTATGTTTTTAATAGTATTTAAATATACTCCTTATTATATTTTTCGATAGTTTTAAAACGTTTTTATTTATTTGTTATAATAAAAGTTCTATTAAAGGGTTTTTTAAAATATTATCTTAATTATTTTTTATTATCTCGATAAATAAAATAATTATCGTCGTAATATACGATTTAAAAAAGTAATTTATAAAATACCTTTTTAAAAGTAATATTAATTTATTTTTTAAAAATAGGTCATTATTAAATTTATTTAGGCTATTTATAATCTTTAGCTATATATTTTAGCTTATCGTAATTATAATATTTAAATTTTTTTTTTTAATAGGATTAGTTTTATTTTACTATACTAAGGTCTATAAGTCCATTATATTATTTATAAGTAATAATTTATTAAAGATTATTATTTTTGTTATAACGGTGTCTTTAGTTAAAATTACGTTAAAATTATTATTAATATTTACGTTTTAAATTAAGTTCTTATTATTAATCTTTTTTTTTTTTTTTATTTATAAAAACGGTTATCAATTTTAATTATAAGTTCGGTATATTAAAAAAAATTATTTAATTTATTAAGCTTAACGAGTTCGTCCTTAATTTCGTTTTTTAATTTTTAATAAAATATAAAGATTTTAATATCGTTAATATAATCGAGCTAAGCATTAAAGCGTTTAAATTCAACTAAATAATTTTTTACTAATTTAATTTATTAAAATTATAATATATTACGCTCGGCTTATCGTTTTTTATTTAAATTTTAAAAAAGTAATTTAAATACTTCTTCGAATTTTTTAAAATTATAATAAATATTTCGTATTTTAAATAAATATTCATTAAAGGTTTTTTTATTAAAATATTTTTTTTAAAAAGGCTCGAATTATTTAAAAGCTCGTTTTTTAAAAAAACTAATAACGTATATAACCTTTTTAATTTCGTTATTAAAATCTTTTTAATAAAAGTTTTAAAAGTTTTCAATTTAAATTAAAAATCTTTTTAAAGTTCTAAAGGTCCCGTCGCAAGTAATAAATATATTAAGTTTAAGTTTTTATCGTCCTTTATTAAAAGGGATAATAACGATATTAATAATATTTTAAAATATATTTATTTAGTTAGCGAAGTTTAAAACTTTTTAATATTTGTTTTTAAATTTTTTAAACGTAATATTAAATATTTTTTATATTTTAGTAATATCGCGGTCATTTTTAATTTAAGTTTTTATTAATTAGGTAGTAGTAATATTAAAAAAGTCTATTAGTTTTTTATTATATTAAATATTTTAATTAACGACGCGGCGTATTTAGGTATATATTATTTTATTAAAAACCGCGTTTTTATTAAAATTATATTTAATATTAAGTATTTTTACGTCTTTTTTAACTTAAGCTAGCTCGGCGTTTAAAGCCTAAGGCTTTTTACTTTTATTAAAAAAGGATTTAATAAATATTATTCGTATTATTTAATAAGTTTTCGTAAAGTCGACTTATTAAATAAAAGTAATTAAAATATTACGGTTAATTAATCGTAATAAGGTTTATATTAATAAAAGTCGGGGCTACGATATTTATAAATAATAATCGTTATAAAAATAGCTTTAAAAAAATTATTATTTATAAATCGTAAGGTAAGTAAGGCTTTAGTAATTAATCGTAATTTTATTAATAAAGTTTTTAATAAAAATAGTTAAAAATAATTATTAGATTTAATATAAAAATTAATTATTAAAAAAGCTATAGGAGTCTATCCTCGAGCCTAGTTCATAACTATTTTATATATAAATCCTAATCGTAAATATATTTTTTATTTATATATTTACTTAATAGTTCCTATATTTTTAAATTACGGGATCTATTTAGTTAAAAAGCGGACTTTATATATTAAATATATAAAGTTTCTTATTTTATTATTATATAACTTATTTATAATTTTTCCGTTTTATAAGGGTAATTTATATGTTCTCGTGTTTTATATTATATATAATATGGTAGCCGCCGTAGGCCTACGGGGCGAGTCCCTAGTCTTATTATATATATTAGGTCGTAATAATAGACTTAAAAATAAAACGATTAATTATCCGTAAAGATATTTTATTTTATATATTAAGTTATATAATTAACCGCACTTTTAATTAACTTCTCACCGGTATTAAATAAGTAAAAAGCTTAAAATAAGTACTATTCGATATATATATCATAAGCTAAATTAAAAAAAAATTATTACTATAAGATTATATTTCGAAGCCTAGGTATTTAAGGATTTATAAATAAGAATCCTTATCGGCTAAGAGTTTAATATCCTTAACTAAATAGATATCTTTAATTTAAAAAAAAAGATTCGTATTCAAAGTTATAATAATTTTAAAATATTAATAATTATTTTTACTAAACGGTCTTTAAAAATATACGTTGCTAAAGCGATATAAAATTAAACTATCCCGCTTTTTTTTAATACGTTTATATTAATACGAAGAATAAAAAGTTTAAAATAGACTTGCTATTATTTAAACCTAATTACGATAGCGAAATATACTATATAATAGGTTATTAATTAGTAATATATATTAAAAACTATTTGTTATACCTTTTAAAGCTTTATTATAATTAATAACTTAGTTTTTTATAATAAATAGAAGCCGATATTATAATCCGGCCTCCGCCTAATATTAATTATCTAATTAATATATTAATATATTTTATAAGTAATAACTTAACGTCTAATAAAAATATCTTTAGCGAATACCTTAATTAAAATTAAAAAATAAAAATTAAATAAAATAAAGAAAACGACTTTATTAAAACGTAAAAAGGCGTTATTATATTTAACTAAAATAAAAAATTCGTACGCCGAATAACAGCTATCGTTTTTAAATTTTCTTTTATATAAAAACTTACCGGGCTTATATAAATTAAATTAAAGGAAAAAATAACTATTCCACTTATTTTAAATTACTACGAATATAAAATAGGTTAATAAATCTTCCCGCAAAACATCGAGGATTAGTAATTTGT